GCTGCTCCGACCCTTTGGTGACATGTCCTAGATGGGGGGGCTCGGGGCATCCCTCTGGTTTTTGGGTTCAGCCCCAGCACCCTCAGGCAAAGCCCTGATGCAGCCGTTTCCACATCAGAACATTGCATGTGATGGAGTTTGAACCATCTGAAAGGCAGCAAAAATCCCTCTCCCCACCCAAAAAAGCACCCCTCTCCTGCAGGATCTCCCATGGGGGGGCCCCAAAGTAGCTAATGGAGAGGCACGGGGAGCATCCCAGCCACAGCTGCCCCCCCAAGCAAAACACTGAACTGAGGGCAAGGGGCAGAGAGCTGAGCAGCCCCCAGCACACCACGGCGTTGAAATTTGGGCCCCTCTGAGCCTCTCAGGCACCCCAGCTCTGCCCCCCTCCTGCTATTTTGGGTGGAAACCACCCGCAATCCCCAACCGCGGCTCCGGCAGCAGAGCCGCCCACTCCCCATCCCGGCTCTGCTGCCTGCCTTGCATCTTCCCCCGCAAACCAATTGTCAGCTCCAGCGTGCGGTGTAAAAATAGCCTGTGGTTATTAATAATATTCTGTTTAAAAAGAAAACACCCGTAGGGATGAGGGAACGGCGAACAGAAAGGATCTGGAACCCAGGCATCAGTGCAAAGGCAGAGGTTTTCCATGCGGCCTGATCCATCCCCCCCCCAGACACCTCCCTCCGTCCTGCACGGGCCAGGCTGGGAGCCTGCGCCCTGGGATCAAGGAGTGGGGAAGAGTTAAAAAGCCAACAAATGAAGAAAATAAAATGATAAAGGGTTCAATATGCTGTGAGCCAAAAAAAAACCCATTCGCATCTCGCGCAACTCCATCCCTCCTCCTTCAGCCCCTTTCAGCAGCCTGGGCCATGGACAAGGCAAATATTACTATAATAATAATAATAATAATAATAATAATAATAATAATAATAATAATAATAATAATAATAATATCTTGGTCCTTTTCTACCTCATTTTCAGGGCTTTGCTCTGGTGGAAGATGCTTGGGGTCGCAGCTCTGCCCTCAGCCCACCCCTTCGCCTTACAGCCTTAGGAAAAGCAGAAAACCCATCAGGAGAAAAAAAACACAGCAGCAGCAGGGGAGAGGAGCCATCACCCACCCCACAAGCCCCCCAAAACCCCATGAGCCCCTCCAAATCCCCCCACACCGGCTCCTCTTCCACGTGGGCTTGGCTGGATGAGGAGCTCGCTCCCGCAGCGCATCATTGCTGCTCCCCCTCTGCGCTTTGCTTTCTGCCCCAAAAGTGACTCCCCCCTGGCAAAAACCAGGCTGGCGCCGAGATAAAAATCTGAAATTCAAAGTTCGGGAGATTTTTCTGAATTTCCGAACGGGGAGCCGGCCGCGCTGGCCCTGCAGGCAAAAACGACCTCTTTCTGGGAGAGCGCACACGGCCGCTCCTTCATCTGCACCGCAGCGGTCCCTGAGTCAGTCCTGACTCCGGGGGAAAAATCACATTTTGCTTCATCAGGCGTGCATTGATCGAGTTAATTCCAGAGTCGCCCAGAAGGGAAATCTGTGAAACCGCTCCAAAAAAAATAAATAAATAAAGTGATAGCAACAGCGACGAGGGAGGCAGCAAGAGCAAGCAGAAATGGGTGAACGATGCAAATAATTAACCTTCTGAGGCATGAAGCAGGATTTCTGCCTCAAATCATCGGAGATGGCAGCACCCTGCACCCAGGGACCCGGCCCCCAGGGACCCTCCCCCCCTGCAGCCTGCACACGCAGCCCTGAGTGTGCCGAGGAAAGCGGTTACACAAAGGCTTTTGGGGCTGGATTGCAAAGGTTTCCGCTTGCCTTTTGTCTTTTTGCAGTGATTGTGCTGGCCCTAAAACCTAAGGTATGTTACCTTCAACATGGGGAGGAACAAGAGGGCAAGCGATGCCTCTGTCCCCATTGCAGGTGGCCAAATGAATGAGTTTGGAGCTCTGCGAGCACCACGGTGCCAGCGACACCAGGGGAGGGTGCTGGGGCAGGAGCACCCATGGGTGCTGCCCACGGACCAACTACGGACATAATGTGCTAAGCCAACCCTTGGCATCTTTGGTCCCAGTTTTGTGGGTAAATCATTATAGGGCTGGGTCAGGAATCAGGGGTAAAAGACAAAAGCTATTTGGAGAGCACGCAGAAACCCCAACCGAGACGGGACCCTGTGGTAGGAGGCAGGAGAGCCACCTTCCCTCCCCGATTTAGGTTGACCAGACTTCACAAGACCCCAGTGAACAGGAAAAGGCCTTAATCAGCACGGCACATCTTTCTGCAGAGCCCCAGCGAGGTGCAGGGGCCGTGCAAGGAGAGGCCACGAGCCCGTAGCAGGCACCGGGAGGAAAAGCAGCACTCAGCTGAAAGGGAACACGCTGCGGCTGGCACTGCTCGTGCTCCCGTGGCTAAAGGGAAAAAAAAATATAAAAAATAAAAAAGGAAAATAATCACGAGGCATGGGGACAAAGTCACCGTCAGCTTCAGTTTGCCTAAACCTCAGATGATCACAAAAGCATGAGCGCTGGATGCAGGGAGCGGGCAGCAAGCAGCGCAGCCGCAGCACTGGTGTAAGCGGGGCTCCCGGTCACATCCTGAGCTCCCAGTCCTGTCCTGAGCTCCCAGTCCCATCCCGAGCTGTCACTGGGGTGCCTGGCCGGGGGGTGACGGCGTGGTGCCCAGCCGGGGTGCTGGGGGCACCTCCCCAAGGTCGCGGGGCCACGGTGGTTCTCGCCTTACCTTTGCTGCAGGGCAGATTCCGGCAGCAGCTGCGGGCTGTATTTTTAGGTATTAATTAGACACTCAATTAGACGGATTTGCTTTGGTGAGAGTGGCAGGGCCCCTGGGTCTGTCTAGGGTGACACGACCTTACCCGAAGGGACGGGCATGGCCACAGGCAGGGAACAGCACCCCCGGATGCCCAACTGGCAGCTCGGGAGCAGGATCAGTCCCCTCGCTGCGGGGCTGCTGCCAGGGCATGGGGTGGTCGTGGTTTTTCCTCTCCCCCCAAGGTTTGGTGGAGGAGCCCCCACCTCCGCAGCAAGCCCTGCTGTGCTGGCTCCTTCTCGATGATGCCAAAAAGGAACGAGCTCGAGGGCTCCAGGGAGCGCTGTCAAAGCGCTGATAGAAGGAAGGCAGAGAGGGAGCCCTGCGTTTCCAGCACAGACACCACAAAATGGCTTTGCCCCACTCCCCAGTTAGGTTTTGGGGTTAGTGACGCCGAGGACACACGAGCTGATCTCCAACCCTGTGTGTTGCTGTGCTGAAGCTGTTCTGGTGGATCCTGGATGCCCACGGAGGCATCCCTCCAGCCAACCCACTGCAGCGCTGGGCACCCCATTGCCACCCCTGGTTCTGCAGCAAGGACACGCTGCCCTTCCTAAAAGAGCATCCCAGGTCTGACCACACACCACACGGAGCCACAGCTTCAGCACACGCTTTCCCTCTCCAGGGCTCAGCCAGCAGCAACTGAAGCCACCCCAAAACCCCACAGATGCTCTGCGAGGCACCTTCCCGGCTGCTCCGAAGCTCAGCGCATCCCCTACCCCACAAGCCAGCCAGGTCTCAGAGCATCCCCCTGGATTTAAAGACACCTTTCAGACCTTTCTTTAACCAAACCCCTGCAGGAACGGGGCCCACTGCTCCCCGCAGCCTCCCCCTGCGACCTCACTCAGCCCCCGTTCACCGCGTGGGCGCAATTCTGCAGTCGATTCCCTCCTGACCCCCCGCCGGGCTGCTGAGAGCAACTGCGGCGCTCCAGCGCTACGTCTGCACGAACCTCCGAGCTCTGCCTTTGCAAGCGGCAGCGACACCGCTGCGGGTTTTTTCCTACCATCACGAGGAGCTGCCAAGGACCCGTCTCGCAAACAAACGTGGGGCTGCCTTGAGAGAGCAGCTGGCGCAGAGTCTGCACAAGACAGATGGAGACAGGAGCTGTTTATTCACACGGAAAGCCTGGCTCCCTCTCGTTCGGTTAGGTGTTCTCAGCAAATTTTGGTGGTGTCTCAAATTCCTCACCCAGGGCTTTAAAGCTTTTTGTCTCTGGCCAAGCGTGGACTGAATTCGCTCCGGCTATTTCCAGGAGGCTGGCTGGGAAACGCACGTGTGCGCGCTCCGTGGTGCCAAGGGCTGCGGAGACGGGAGAAGGAGCAAGACCAGGGTTGTATCTCTGCACCACGGCCACAGGACAGATTTTGGCAGAGTGCAGCAACCTCCCTGCCCTGCTCACCCCCCAGAAGTGTCCCCCTTTCTCCTGGGTGTAGGGATGCTCTGTGCTGCCTGCTCTGGCACCGATACCAGATGCCAGCCCCAGGCAAAGGCATGGGCTGAACTTGGACCACCAGCATCATGGGATTTGGGTCAAATCCTGCCGGACTGCGCATCCAGGGGATGGTGTGAACTTACCTGGGAGCGGAGCTGAGCTGAATCCAGCAGAAAGACGCAACGCTCCCCACATGCTGGAGCGTTAAGCTGACGTGGTGCTTTGGGCTGCTGCTTTGACTTTATTGCAAATTAATATCAGTAAGAAGGATCTTTTCATCCCACCCCTGCAGGACTAAAGAAGCCATCCCTCCAAGTTAAAAAATAACAAACATGATCCCACCTAACACCCAAGGGCACGCCATGCAGCACGCTCTCCATTCAGACCTCGGGTGCAAGGCTCGTGCACGGGCACTGAACCGGGTGACAGAGGCACCCATCCCACCCGTGGAGCTTGCCAAGGCTTTGCTCGCTTCAAGGTGAGGGAAGGGTTAAAAGAAAGAAACCAGGCTAAACGGACTCAAGTCTGTCCCAAAATAGATGTTAAAAGACTCGTTCTTTGGTTGCAAGGTTGCAGAGCGCTCAGGCTGCAAAGGGAGCTTCGGGACGTGATGCCATTTTGAAAAAACAAGGAATTCACTATTATTTCTTGGACCCTTGTTTATAATTTATTCTGTCATTGCAAAAAAAAAAAAAAAAAGTCCTTTTAGATATCTTTGTACTTTAAACACTAGGAAAGTTAAGGTAGATCTTTTTCATATATATATATTTATATATATATTTATATATATATACATACACATATATACACAATGATGCATTTAAAAGTTACTATTTCCCCAGTGATTACAATACCGTTCTTTAAATCACTTGCTTCTGAAATGATCATGACTCGATGCCACTGTTAAAAAGACCTTGTGCCATGTGCAAGAAATACCAACAAGACACCACCAGGCATTTCTGGGTTTGCCACAGAGCTAGAGAGATACGCTGCCCTCGCTGCATTCATTCTCGAGGCTCCAAAATAACAAAAACCAGATATTTTTGCAGAGTATTAAGTAAAAGCTGCCGGGCATTGTGCAAAGGCAATGTTACATTTGAGCTCAGAAGATTTGCTTTCATCTCCCCTAAAAAAAAATTAAAAACAACACCCCGGAAAGACCTCATCGCAAGGTGGAATTTCATCTGTGGTGACACCCAAGGGGAACTCCCCCAGGAGCTGAAATTCTGGCCAATTCTGACGTCTGCTTTGGGGGATGAAGGGCAGCAGTGGGGCTGGCGTGGCTTTGTGGAGCATCCCATTCCCTTCTTCCCGGCATGGAGCCAACCATCATCATCATCATGACTGGTGATGGTGAGGACAGCACAGAGGAGATGCTCGGGGCTGCCGTAGGACCTGGCTCCTGCCCGCAGGGCTCTGTCCTTCACCAGCCACCCCTCACTTCACCTGCGTCACAATGAAGCCGGACTCCCGCATGCTCTCGTAGTACTCGATGGCCAACGCAAAGTCAAACTCGTTGACGGCCGGCCCGTCGATGGCGATCTTCATGAGGTCGGACAGCCCCTCGTCCTTCACGCAGCGTGATCGGCCACGCTTCAGCAGCTCCCGGCCCCGGCTGATCTTCTCGGCCAGGACCGAGCCCAACGGCAAGGCCAAGGCGATGGCCGCGAGGACGGCGAAGTCCGGGAAGAGCTCGTGCATCTCGGAGTTGCTGTAAACCAGTTTGACGCAGAGGTCCTTGAAGGACAGTTGGCTGAGGCTGAAGACGATCCGCTTGAAGAGGGGGAAATCGCTCAGGGCCCTCTCGCTCACCACCACCCGGGAGTAGGCCTGCAGGAGGAAATTCAGCTCGCTGACCCCGTAGCTGCCGATGTCCTCCAAAGACTGGGGGTAGCACTTGGGGTTGAAGATGGCCGAGAAGGAGCTGACGGCCTCCAGGACGCTGCTGGGGAACCTGTCCAGCAGATTGCCCCGCACGCTCTCCAGGTAGGTCTCCTTCAGGTGCTCAAAGTGCTTCAGGTGCACCTTGGAGCAGTTGGCCAGCTCCACGCCCTTGTAGTAGAGACGTCTCTCGCCCTCCCGGTCGTCCCGCGGGTGCTCGTTCATCTCGTTGAGGAATTCCTGGAGGTTCTGGCCGCTGGCGCTCTTCTGGGCCTGCAGGGTGGTGGCCGTGGCGGAGACGATGGGCTTCAGGATGGAGAGGTCAAAGTCCTCGATCTGGAAAAAGCGGCTGAGTTTCTGGAAGATGGGGAGGACGTCCAGGAGGATCTTGGTGAAGGCCACAAACTGGAACTTCTTGAGCTCTTCGCAGAGGCCAAGGGCCACTGGTGACCGCTCTGCCTCGCTCTCCAGCAGCAGCACCAGTGTGGGCCATGAGGAATCGATGGCTTCCACAGCCGGGAAAATAGAAGTCCAGTGGATGGCCTTGGGGCTCCCGAGGTCTATCTCGCAGAGGTCCAGGACGCTCCGTAGCTCCTGTAGGCTGTTGCTTTCTCCCCTGAAGCTGGAGTAGAGCCTGTAGACGGCATCCACGGTGGTCTCGTACTTCTGGAGGTATTCAATGCTGACGATGCTCTGGGTGGGCAGCAGGGAGCTCCCGTGGGACAGGCAGTGCATCTCGGTGAGCAGCGGGCAGAGGGAGCTCAGCGCCGTCCCCACCCCGCTCAGCCGCTCGGCCACCAGCGAGGCGCTGTCGGCGCTGAGCCAGGTGATCTTCATGGTGGGGATGCCGAAGGAGCGCATCACCTCGCCCACCTTGCCCGCCACCGTGGAGGCCTCCCCGGCGGGCAGCTCGAAGCTCCCCAGGAAGGTGGTGGAGGTCTGCCCGTTGCAGGGGGAGACGGTGGTGGTGAACATGGCGAGGTTGCGGTGCTCCAGGACGTCCACCGTCTCGTCCACCACCAGCCCAACAAACGGCGAGGCTTTTATCCTGTGCCTGTCCTCGTTGTGCAGGACCTTGGCGATCGCTGCCTGAGCCAGTTAAGGACGCGCAGGGCAGGCGGGGAGGGAAAGAGAAATACAAATGAACTTTAAAAGCACGCGGGACATGTGCAGCACCCCTAGCAAGACAAGCTGCAAGGCACCCACGCTCAGATCTCCCCAAAAGCGGCGCGAGGTCCCAAATCTGAGAAGCCCTTAAGCACATGCTTGGCTCCCACTGGCCACCTGCCTTCAAAGCAGAGCATTGCCCAGAGGATTCAAAGCCACTTTTGCTCATGTTTTAAGCTGCTCGCTGATTTAGGTGTAACAGCTGGGGCTCTTAAATGCAAGTGCCTACAAATTGCTCTCATACCCGGAGTTCAAATGTTGGCAAATCCTGCTTTTGGTCCCTCAGGTTTTTAGGAGCTAGAGAAAGTCAATGAGACATTGGCACATCTGAACTACAACTTCAGACTCATGCTTGAAATTGGAATGTTTTAGCACCCATTCCTGGGTAAAAATATTTTCCTAAATTTTAGCTTAAAACACGGAGCAAGTCCATCGGTCATGGCTATTTGGCATGGGAGTACCAAATCCAGCTTTCTCATGGAAAGAGCCATGGAAAGCATCTCTGCAAACCTTATTTAAAGCCATGCAATGCTGCCTTGTCCCACCACTCAGCTCACAACTTGCTGGCGCTCGCTTTTCGCTCCGTTCCATCCAAGTGCACAGCAATAGCACTTAAAGTGGCCACGAGCGCTGAATCACGCTGCAAGAGCAGGTTATGTTATGGTCGCGTCCGCAGACCTCAAAAGCAATTTTGGCCTTATAATGCTGTGTGAGTTGTATATACAAGTCAACTCCCTGCTGGAAATTGCTTTCTCTTTTCTAATATGCTGCCTCCTGCTTCCTCTGGCCGCATCCCAAGCAGCGAGTTAAGGTCGGCAGCCCTGTGGGCTGAAGGCAGCCAGCTCCCTGCATCCTCCTCCCTCCCCACTTCCTTGGGGCTCCCGGGACCCTGATGGTGCCAGGAGCTCATTAAGACACCTAACCCCTGCTTCTTCAGCTGTGACTCCATCACTTCAGTGCTTTGCAAGCAAAGCAGCAATAAAACTTTGGGGCATCTCTCCCTTCTTCGCTCCGTTTTATCCATTTCATGGAAATGCCACTGGTTCGAAGGGAAAACTTTCTCTGCAAGCGCAAACGCTGTAAGTAGCACTCCAGGCTGAGAAATCTAATTAGTGGATTTAGCCTATCCGCAGTGAAATAGGGTTCTTTATATATCTAAAATGCCTGGCAAACCGCCAAGCGTCACTAAAAAATTAATTTGATTTTAACAGGCATGAAGCATTTGTAAAATTCAAAAAATACATGTGTCCTCTCTAAACTCTCTGGCTACTCGATCTTTCTGATCACTCAGTTTAGGGCAAAAGAGGAAAAGCCCACTGTGCTGGCGTGCTAATTGAAGTCCCGAGCTTTCATCCTTCGAGCCTGCAGCATCGACCTGCAGCGATGGGCATCGCGCTCCAGCAGCAGGAGCGGCTGCTCCCGGTCCCTGTGTGCTCTGGAGGCGCACACATGGCTCAGAGCCCCCTGCTCCCTCGATGGAGCCCATTGCTTTCTCTAGCCCCTCCATCCTCCTGAATTGTCACATCAGGGAATGACACCAACAAGGTGCCGCGTTTATTATTTTTTAACCTGGAAGCACTTGCCATCAGTCTCTACTGAAAATATGGGAAAGCTGGATAATCACCCGGCTCCAGCATCCATCCAGGTGGGATCAGAGCAGCCAAGGAGCTGGCTCTGATCTTGCCTTTCCTTGCTTCCCGCAGTCCCTGCTGCAAAAATGCATTATTTTTGCGAGGCAGAGCACACGCTCACCTCCAGCCCTAGCCCATGGGATGGGAGCATGTGCCCAAGGCTCCTGTTCACACATGCAGCAGCTGAAGAAACGCCAGCGATGCTCGACGCAACACAAGCTCAGGGGTGCTGCAAAGTGCAGAGCTCCCAGCACGAGCACCAAAACCTCTTTGCTGCATGCCACGGGAGCTTCACAGCACGGTCCAGCCCCAAAACAGCCACCAAACACCACGGGCAGAGAGACCCCCAGCCCACACTGTACACACCTGCATCTCCCTGATGCTGCTGGGGTGGTAGTACTCGCTGTGCTCGGAGGCGAGCAGCGCCTGGCACAGGTTGAACTTCTGCAAGTCCAGCAGAGAGGAGCACTTCTCCTCCGGGATCTCCTCCTTGGCCATCCAGTAGACGGTGGTGAGGATGGCCACCTTGGCCGGGTTCACCTCCACCTTGAGGACCGAGCGCAGCTCCGGGTGGCCGTGGACGCGGGCCTCGAAAGCCAGCTGCTCCCGGTTCACCGCCAGCGCCTGGCGGTGGGCGCCGGAGGTGACGTGCCGCAGCAGGGCATGGCGCTGGAAGTTGTCCGTGCCCACGGTAAAGGCGTTCTCCGCTTTACCGTGCTTGTTCTTCACCAGCGCCTGCCGACACTCTATGCAAAACATGAGTTTCCGCTCATAGTCAAACTCCAGCCAGGTAAATTCTTCCTTCCAGTGCTCATTGAAATAGCGCTTACACTTTTTATTGGAATTGGAAGTTTCCCCAGCTGGCTTTTTCCCTGGAGGCACCATATTGCTGTGGCTGGGAAATCAAACACTACGGTTGAACTGAAACGTGCCTTGGAGGAGCAGCCTCTACATTTAATTTAGTAAGGAAGGTCTATTACCACTTTCCTGGTTCGACTGGAGATGAAAGAGACACAAGGGGAAAGGGATTAGGGCCCTTGCAATCCTCAGTCTTTGCTATTTTTTTTTTTCTTGCCTGCTATCGAGGAGCTGCTGGTGACACGGCAGTGGTGGGGGTGCTCGGAGGGCAGGACCCTGAGCGCCTCTTTTGGTGTCCCCAGCAGCTCTGGGTGCCCGTGGTGGGACCTGCATGGTCCTTCACCTGACCACGGGGCCGTCTGAATGCACTCCCAACCAGAGCCAGACCTTCATGCTGCAGCCAACGTTCGGAGGATATGGAAGCTTCAACGCTGGCTTTCAACAAAACGTCACAAATCAGAGTGTTTGGCCCCCCAAGGAGAAAACACTCCATTCCCCAAACCACCAGGAAGGACCAAAGCACCTTGTTCACCTCCTCAGGCAGGCAGCATCACCCAGGCTTGCAGGGAGCCTTGTCCTGGGTGGATTTTGAGCTGAACCCAGATGGCTTCGAGGCCAAGGAGCAACTCAAACACATGCCCAGGACCTGCACGTGCACGTTTTCATCCCTTCCTTGCTTGCCTTTATTTCAGGAAGCCACCAAACCTGCACAGGCTTTGGGGTCAGGTACAGACAGTGCTCCTTGCACAGCCAGTGCCACCAGCCTGGCTTGTCCCCAAGGGTGGGGGGGGCTGGCAGCCAGGACCTGCGGCCACCTGGAGCTGGGGACGGCCAGTGAGCAGCTCCTGGATTGTCCCCAAAAGTGGAGGAAGAGCCAGGACTCCCCAGCACCTACAGGAGGCTACCAAGCACCTAAGCACGTCTTTAAACCAGTTAGCTCAAGTGTTTAAGCAGCCACTTAACTCCCTACCCGTACTTAAGCCCCACTCAGTCCAATCCTTGTATTCCTCCAGGAACAGGAATGAAAAATCAAACTGAGCCTCGATAAAGGGAGGAGGAGGAACCCAGTGCAGAGCAGGGAAGGGGAGAAAACTGGAGCACAGGGGAAAAGGAAAGAAAACGCACCTTCAGCAGCAGGTCGCGAGTGCAAGCCAGGAAATACTCAGTGTAACTCACTGAGAAACCCACGAGGGATTTGGGGTTTTTCTAAAGAACAAAACCCCCAGGGACTGGAGCCATTCCCACAGCCATCATGGAAAGCCTCAGAATTTGGTGCTGGAGCAATACTTCGGCCCCCAGCACACCCCAAGCCCCCTCCCACCCACCTAGCTCTTACCCCACCAGGGTATCCAGGGCTCACAGCCACCCCGCAGCACCACTGGCACTGCACCACTGCCCTCAGACCCTTGCCCCCTGCACCCTGCCACCCCCCGGGGGCTGCAAAACGCCCTTCATGGAGAGGGTGAGGAAGGGGCGAGCTTCCTCCTGACGCAGGGAATGCAAAGCTGTCTGGGCTTGCAACAGGCATGCAGTTCACTTTCCTCATTAAGCCTATTGAATATAACTGCTTGCTTGGCTCCCCAAACCCAAGCCTCCCTCCTCACCGCACGCCTCTGTGGCGCGGTGCAGCCGGGAGCGCTCGGGGGGCGATCCCCAGCACCGGGCGATCGCGTGCGAAGTTGCAGCCTCGTCCTCCTCAGGCCGGTGGAAAAGCCTCACCCACAGCCACTAAGTGCATCTGCTCTGCAGTCCGTTAATTAGGAAACTGCAAGGGCTTTTGTGAGAGCCGGAGCCAAGACCCGTCTTGCTAAATGTTTCCTCTGCGGTTGCCAGCGCCTGTCGGACGCTCCCCGGGGAACGCAGGCTCTGTCTGGGTGGGGAGCGCCCTGGTGCCTCCCTCCCCCCCGCCCCGTGCCTTGTGCAGGCTCCAAAACTTGGCTCGTGGGCTCGGTGCCCACCTGCCCCGAGCCCCTGGGCTGGGTGGGCACCGAGCTGGGTGCCCTGGCTGCAGCAGGGACAGCGCACAGTCCCCAGACTGTCCCCCTTGCCGTGACCAACCACGTCTACACACTGCACCCAGACACTCAACCCAGCAAAAAACTCATCCCTTGGACAGAAAAAAAAATAATAATAATAAAAAAATATATATATATATACACGCACATCAGTGATGGCTCTGGGGGTGTACAGGGCCCGTGCAGCCTTGCTTGGGCAGAGCAGGGGACAGTGCAGGGGCTGCTGGCGATGCAGCCGTGTCCTGTGCATCCCAGGGCAGCCACCGTGCACCTGGGCTGGCTCCTCTGCCTGGGGGGAGATTTTAGCACCGTGTAGTCCTCAGGAGCAGGTAGCGTGCTGGAGGGGGCTGAATTCAGCTGGGAAGCAGGGGTGTTAAGATTGCACCCCAGCTCCTGCATGTGCTGCTCCCCCCAGGAGCACACAGTTCTGGGCAGGAGCACTGTCTGTAAGGAAGTTTGGGCAGGATTTATTTGCAAGACAAGGAGCCCCTGCTGGGACACGCACGCCCCAGGTCCCTCAGCCCTGGCCGTGTCACTGAAACCGCCCGCCCGGCTCCAGGCAGAGCTTTGCCAAGTGCGAGCAGAGCCGCATGCAACTCCCCCAGCTCCCCCGGCCCCGCACGCCCACCCTCCCTCTACACATACGTACCATGGAACCGCTGCCATGAGCTTTGGGGCCAGGGGGCTTGCAAACTTCCCAAGATTTTGGTTTTTATATAGGAAAAAAAAAATCTAATAAAAAAAATAAGAAAAAAAAAAAGCAAAGACAAAAAAAATAAAACAATCTCCCGGATGCAGGGCGAAGCACCACACACACACACATACACCCCCCCCCCCCCCCTTGCCCCGGCGGGGCTCCCCGCTCAACGCATGGGGCGGGCGCCCCGCGGGTGCTGCCGCGGCCCCGGGAACAAAGCCCTGCGGCTGCCGCCCGCGCTCACGGCAGCATGGGAGCAGCCATCTTGCTGCGAGGACTGTCTGGCTCCACCGATGCTCCCGGCAGCCAACGGCGGCAGTGGCCACTAGCGGCAGCCAGCAACGGGGAAGGCCTCGTGGCGGTGGCCGCGCTTCGGCCACGGGGGACGGTGGCCACGGTGGCCGACCAGATGGGCTGGGGTCCCTGAGGTGGTGGGGGAGGACTGGGGATGTGCTGGTGGTGGTCCCCAGGGGGGTGCTTTGCTGCAGGGTGGATGAGGGGGGGTAGTGGTGGTTTATGGGGTATCGGGTTTGTGGCACCCCCTGGGATGTCCCCAGGCTGGGCGCACGCAGCTGGATGCCGACCCAGGTCTGGGCACCTCCAGGCTATGAGCGCTGCTTCAGCAGGCAGCTGCTGGCAAAGCAGCCCTCCAGCCCTGCCACAAGCATTGAGTAAAATTTTGGGATGAGTCTGTTTGCTGCCGTTACATTGGGGTCACCCCGAGCTGCTGCCGAGACCCCGTTACCTGCTGGTGGCCTGGAGCTGTGGGATTCGGGTTGGCACCTCCACCCCAGTGACACCCGAGAAGCACGGGGCTCCGTTTGCACCAAAAATCTTTCAGCATTAAACGCGGGTGCAATTTAGAGCCTCTCAACTTCCAAAACAAATAGGATTTTCTGCCACCCTTGCTGTCCTCCAAACAAGACTCCCGAGGCCATTAAAACCCCAAAGAACACCCACGTCCTGCAGGAGCCACCAAGGAGCCCCCTGCCCGTGGTCCACAGTGCTCGGTGCCCACAGAGGATGCTCTCAGCCCTGACTACCTGCTGCTGGTGCAGCCAGACCCCGATAAGCACCGCGGCCCCACGGTATGTGCCTGGATTAGGACCTGCTTTGTACCTGGCTCCGCACACCGGGGAGGGGATGGCGGGCAGCCCCAGAGTAAATTCCTCTCTCTTCAGGCTTCTCGACATGTCCTGGGGCAAGAGGCTCCTTTCTGCTCTCGGGACATTCCTGCCCGGCCACCTTGGCTCAGGGTTAATGCTTACAGGAGCTGGGTGAAACCAGAGACCGGGTTTCCGGGGCTGAAAATATGCACTATTTATCCTTGTGCTAATGCAACTGAGAAAAGAGGACTTAAGGTTTTTAATCAATTTTCAGGCTGCTGCGTCCTCTCCTTTGCAGCTTCTGGGGACAAAAGTGCCGAAGTCAGCTGGGCTGTCCCTGCTTTTCCACCCTATTTCCAGGGGGAGCAACTGGGTCTGACCCCGCAGGCTGCTCCTGCCCTTCGCATCCACGGGGGAGCCACCAGAACCTGGACCAAAAGGACGAGGATGATGATGATGAGGAGGAAGACCAGCACCAAGCTTGATGCCCGATCAGCACCAAAACCAACCAAGGCTGCTTCCGACTGTGGCGAGCTCAAGGCAGCCACGTGAAAATAAAAAAATAAATCGGCAGCAGGGAAACAAAACCGGCTGGAGACGAGAGGCAAGGTGGAACAGGCAGGGCAGCGAAACGCCGCGGGGCAGACAACCACACGGCAGCGCTCGGCCTCCTCGCAGCGGGGGCCCCCAGCCCGGTTCTCAGCACAGCCAGGAAAACTGGCAGGTCTGGGGTGGGGGGGGGGCAAACAGCCCCAAAAACATCCCCCAGGATTCAGGCACTGATGTCCTTGAGGGTAGAACAGCCGTGCCTGGGATGCTTTTCTCCAGCCACCCGGGATGTTTTTGCTGGATTTTGCCCCCCCCCCAAGCTGATGGTACAAGCATCTGGTACGCAGCAGCATCTGTATGGGGGGGCTGAGCAGCTCCTGTCCCCCCCCAGGTCCTGGGGACCCCACAACCTGCGTGATAACCATCAGCTGGGACGACGGAAAGGACCAGAGCTGCCTGCCCAGGGCACGTACCACCCACAGAGGACAGTAATTATTTTGCCCTTTAGCTTTGCGAAGGGGTATCGGGGGGGTCAGGAGTCAATCACAACATCTCCATTTACCCCCGCGCAGCAGCAGAAGCCTTGATTTGATTTAATCATCGCTATTTTTCTCCGCCGTGACATGCCTGGAGAGCTCGGCGGGCAGGTGACCTGTGTGCACGAGCGCATTTATCATCAGCATGGCACGACGGGCGCCCGCTGCCTCGTGAGCCAGTTTCCACTCGTGCCCCGTGCCTTCAAAGGCGAAACCAAAACCGAGCTGCTGCCCA